AGGATCCGCTCTGGCACGCCGCTGCCTTGGATCCCGCGCCACATCCCGGGATCCGCTCTGGCACGCCGCCGCCGCGCTTCGTTTGATGATTGTTGGTATTTTTTAATCCCGTCCCGACGCTTCCGCAATCCCTCGGATCCCGCTTCGGGATCGGCCGCTGCACTTCTCGCACCTGATGGCCCACGAGGCCTCTTCCCTCCTTCCTCCCGCCGGAATCTCGCCGGAATCTCACCGGAATAGGGATGGAAGAGGGACTGATCCGTTTCCGGAAGCGTTTTCGCTTTGGGATCTCTCCCTTTTTTCCCCGGTTGATGCTTGAAAAGCTTTTTTCCGGCTCCGCGGGTGAATTCCCAGGTCTCCGCTCCCGCTGGACACGGAGCTCCGGATGCTCTTGGCTTCCGTCGAATTTCCAAACCCATCGGCTTTCGCATCCCGCTGGCGCCCGGATTCCTCGGGATTCGCCTCCCGAGCACCTCCGGGTGCCCAACCCGCCATCTCCGCCCTTTCCTCCCCGTCTCCATCATTTTTTTGGGGATGGGGGGGACGTTTCTCCGATCCCTCCATCCTTCCGTTCCCTTTGGAATCACTTTTTGTGGGTCTGGCACTTTACTGGGGGCCGTGGGGGCTGGAAGGAGCCGATTCCCCTCCGGAATCGGAACCCACCTCCCGCTCCGGAGCTCTCCGAGATGGGAATATTTATTTTTTTTCCCCCCTTTTCCTTATTATTTTCCTCTTTTTTTCTCGGCCGCTGTCGAGTTTCCGGCAAAATCCCATCCCACGAGAGACTCCGGTTGTGTTTTCTTCTTTTTTTTGGGAATATTTTTTGGTTGGTGGATCGGAATTCTGATTTTTTTTCCCTCCCGTTGGCATTACAGAGCTACTTGGAAATATTTTTGGCTAAAACTGAGAATTAAACGGAGATTTAGTTTTATGAAATGTCGAGAAATAATAAAAAAAAAATAAAATTGGCGAGCGGAGGCTCCGGTTTATTGAGATCCCGGCGGAGCGGCGTTTCCGAACGAATCCGGATTCAGTCATGCACCGGAATCGGGGTGTCCCTCCCCAGATTCCCAGATTTTTAAATCTCACCTCGTTAATCCTGACCAAATCCTTCCCCATTAGCTCAGAGCCGTGTATCCGGAGCCGTATCCCGGCATCCGACGGCCGCGCCGGCATCACGGAGCGACCAAAATCCCCTTCCAGGTGAGGAAAGGGCCAAAAAATTTGGCCTAAATCCATGGAAAACGGCTTTTTGGGCACAGGATCAGGGCCCGGAGGCTGTTGGGTGGAGAAATTCCACCTTAAAACGTATCCACGGATAACGGCCGCTCCGAAAACCCCCGCGGGCGCTTCCCAACCACTTTGGTTTATCCGCTTTTTCTCGTTTTTTTGGGAATTGTGGGTTTTTCCTCCCAGATCCGCGGAGCTTTTGCAGCGGGAAGAGAAACGCCGCGTCCCTCCTGAGCCAGAAGGTCGGAGAACGTCTTCCACGTCCTCCTGGAATCCCGGAATTCTTGCCCTCTGCTGTTAATTTTCCGCATGGGTTGTAATTCCCAGGATTATCATCTCCAAATTCTCCCCTAACTCATTCCCAAGCCGTGTCCCACCACATTCCCAACCTTGCCGGTGTGGGGACAACTTCCCATGGACACAATCCCTCCCCTTGGAGCCGGTGGGCTCCAGCCCGTCCCTGAAGGTTCCCAATCCGTATCCAAGTCGGAGCGAAGCTCCAACCTCGGATTTTTCCATGAATCTCCCGGTGGTGGGACAACCCCTGAGCGGACACGAGCTCCAGAGAGCGCTTTTATTGATGGTTTTTACACAAAATTCACGGATTCTCCACCGCCGCCGTGTCCTCATCTGGTGCCGATGGTGACCTGCCACACCCGGACGAGGTTATCCGTGTAACCGGCGAACAGCGTCTACGGAGAGGAAAAGAGCGGAGTCACCGGAACGGTCGGAGGTGGGATTCAGGGAATGGGGCCATCCCGACGCGGAGCAGGACCACCATCGGCCCCGGATGTCGGGAAAACGAAGGAGAAGAGTTGAGAAAGACTCAACGAGGGTCTTCGTGGTCTCCACGCTCCAAAAGCAGCACGGAGATTCCCAAAAATCCGCGTTCGCCGGGATCGGGGATGGATTTACCTGCCCGTCCGCGGACCAGGCCAGGGACGTGCACTGGGGCGGCTCCGCTTTGCTGCTGGTGCTGATCACCTCCTGCTTCAGCTCATCCACGATGATTTTCCCTTCCAAGTCCTGCGGGGAAAAAAAAAAAGACGGAAGCATGACGGAACGCCATCCCGCCGGGAGACTCCGGCGGCCGCGCCGGGATCGCTCAGAAACAGCCTCTGGATTTCCGCACGCAGACGCGCTCGGTTGGCATCCAAGAGTTTCATCACGGCGTGGAGGGTTCTCCAAACCCATCCAAAAAGCTGGAAGAACTCCGTCCCACCGGAGCGGTGCCGGAGCCGTACCCAGATCTTGATACTGGGACCAGTTGCGGCGCAGAGCCAGTAGCGGTTGGGGCTGAAGCACAAGGCGTTGATGATGTCTCCTCCATCCAAGGTGTAGAGATGTTTTCCCTCGTTGAGATCCCACAGCATGGCTTGGCCATCCTGCCGGAAAAAAAAACACATTCCAAGGATGGGCACCGCTCCAACGCCGCCATTTCCCGCTGCGAAGCAACGGGGATACGGGAAAAATTCAAGGATGCAGGAGGGAAGTCGAAGAAAACTCGTGGAGAGGTGGGATGGAGAAGGTCCTGGAGAACGTTCTCATTCCTGTCTCCCACCCCGAGGTGGTGGTGGGACGCCGGGATCGGCGTTCCCGCCCCGCTGAGGCGTACCTTCCCGCCGGAAGCGCAGAGGGAGCCGTCCGGAGAGACGGTGACGGTGTTGAGGTATCCGGTGTGGCCGATGTGGTTGGTCTTGAGTTTGCAGTTGGCCAAATTCCACACCTGGATGAGGGGGGAAAAACATGAAGGTGGAAGAAAAGAAGGATCAGCACCACCACACCGTAATTCCAGGGGGGAAAAAAAAAAACCCTGGAGTGCTCCGAGGGGACCAGGAGATCCCACCTCCCCTTCACCAGTTTGTCCCAGCCGCAGGACACGATGATGGGATTGCTGCTGTTGGGGGAGAAGCGGACGCACGACACCCATTCCGAGTGGCTCTCGTCCTGCCGGAGAGGAAGGACGCTCATCCCATCGCTCCGCAGCATTCCCAGATTTCCCCTCCTCATCCTTCACCCCCCCCATCCCTCACCATCACGGGATTTCTCCTCAAAAAACCACCCCCAGCCCACCCAGGAGGCGACACCAGGGCTGGAAAACGTGCAATTCCCGATGGGAAAGCGGCGGGAGCGGGTTTAAAAATTCCCATTTTTCTTTTTTTTTCCGGGAAGCGCACCTGCACCGTGTACTTGCAGACTCCCAGCGTGTTCCAGAGTTTGATGGTTTTATCCCGGGAGCCCGAGACGATCTGGCGGTTGTCGGAGGAGAAGGCGACGCTCAGGACGTCCTTGGTGTGTCCCACGAAGCGGCGGGTGGTGGTGCCGCTGCCGCCGGAGCGATCCAGCGGGAGAGACGCCGATCCCGCCAAAACGTTTTGGGAAGATCCAAACATTTGGAAGGAAAAGGGAAAAAAAAGGAAAAGAGGGACGGTTCGCTTTCTCCATCGGAAGAACTCGAGGATTGGGGGAGTTGGGGTGGGTTTATCCCGCCGCTCCGCGCCGCTCCGCTCTCTTTTCCAGGTTGTGATCCCGATCCAGCCCATAATACCCCCCGCCACGGAGAGGTGGAGCTCCCCACCCCCTGCTTGTCTCCCGTCATAATTGCAGGACGTCGGCTTCAGATCCCAGAGGGATCAGAAGAGTTTGTGTCAGGTCTAATCATCGGGAGAAGGAGACGGACACCCTGATTCCGGCCTCCGTCGGAAACTCCAGAAAAAATCCCCCTTTTGGGATTCCTCTTCCAACCCCAGAGGAAACATCCCATTTTTCAGGATTCCTCTTCCAACCCAAGAAGAAATTTCCCGGTTTTTAGGCACGATGGTGCCCTCCCCGCCTCTCCCCGTGCCCCAACGGAGCTGGGAGAGACACCCTGATTCCAGCTTCCGTCAGAAACTCCGGAAAACATCTCCCTTTTGGGCTTCCTCTTCCAACCCCAGAGGAAATTTCCCGATTTTCAGGACTCCTCTTCCAACCCAAGAGGAAGTATCCCATTTTTTAGGCATGACAGTGACCTGACCCCTCTCCCCGTGCCCCAACGGAGGAGGGAGAGACCCCCTGATTCCAGCCTCCGTTGGAAACTCCGGAAAACATCCCCCTTTCGGGATTCCTCTTCCAATCCAAGAGGAAATATCCCAATTTTCAGGATTCCTCTTCCAATCCAAGAGGAAACATCCCATTTTTTAGAATTCTTCTTCCAACCCAAGAGGAAATATCCCATTTTTCAGGATTCCTCTTCCAACCCAAGAGGAAATATCCCAATTTTCAGGATTCCTCTTCCAACCCAAGAGGAAACATCCCATTTTTCAGGATTCCTCTTCCAACCCAAGAAGAAATTTCCGATTTTTAGGCACAACGGTGCCCTCACCCCTCTCCCCGCGCCCCAGCGGAGCGGGATGGGACCCCCCCACCCCCCCGGCATTCCCGCTCCGTACGTGGTGAGATCCCAGAGCCGCAGGGTGCCGTCCCAGGAGCCGGAGAGCGCGAACTGCCCGTCGGAGGAGATGACGACGTCGCTGACGAAGTGCGAGTGGCCGCGCAGGGCGCGCTGCGGGATCCCGTAGTTGG